TTGTAAATATCAATAGTAGGAACTTTGGAAAAACATAGCCCCTTAGAAACAATCAAGGAAGCAAAAGCATGTAGAATGTCAGCGCTTCTCCCCACTGCACACTCTTCCTTTAAGCCGATGTCAAGGTGGGCCCAGTGAGGGTCAGTGACTTACCTTGCAGCCTGAGAAAGAACTGGCAGAAGCATAAGGTTAGAGGCTGCTCCTGCTGCCTCATTAAAAACAATTCTTCCCCGAATCTGGACTCAAACTGACATTCGATTCTGGGTGCAATCTCAGTTGAATCCATCCCAGTACACATGCATACACCTCCCGTGTACACCAGCTCATGAGATTGTGTCCACAGCTTTGTGACTTGAGAGGGGTGGGAGTGGTTATCTCCAACCTCAAACAAGGCTTCCAGGCTTCAGGAGTTGGAGACAGCCCAGGGCTGGGCCAGCATCAGAACCAGTGGCTTCTAATTCCAAATCAAATGGCTTCTGCCATACTACAGCCCTAAACAAATGAGCTGTGGTGCGTCTCACTTCCCTGTGCAAGCAGAAGATGCTGATATATGTGTATCATGAGAAAGGACTTCACAGTTGTCTGGTTCTGGTTCTGCTTTGATTCAGAGAGAACATCCCAGGATCAGCGAGAAAGGCATGTCATCATTTCTTAATCCCTACAATCCAGGAACTAGTCCATCATTTTATGAAAGTATAAAAACGAACTATTTGAGTTTCTTGATTATCTGCCCCCTTCTCCCCAAGCTGGTCTTGTACAAACATGATGTTCTTCCATTGGGTGACAAGTCTGTCGTAAGTGAAACGTTTACAGGCACTACAGGAATGACCTGGTGCCTCGCCCACCTCATTAGAATTCTAATTGGGGTGTGTAGGAGAGCTTCTATAAATGGTAAGGCAATCCTTGGCAGCCTGTCTCTCAGCACTGCCCGTGCCATCCCCAGGGGAGCCTGAGAAGAGGCGGAGGAAAGCGAAACATGGCTGGTGAGTGCATGGCGCCTTCTCCATCAGGTGCTTCCTGGAAGCCCTTGCTTCCCCTGGGCCAGCCTGCAAAGCCAGAGTATCCAGACAGCTGCCTGCCTGGGGGCTCTGAAGGCCGGACTTCATATTTCAGGATTTTAGCAAGAGGCGGCTCTTTCTCAGTGGTGGTTGGGTCCCTCTAGCATATTCCTGGGGTAGAGCACGGTGGGACCATAGCTCTGAGTAATGGGCAGGGTGTTCAGTGCAGCTGGAGGTCGCATCTCCTTAGGCAGAAGACAAGCTTTGCCTTGTTTGTGTTTCTTTTACACATCTGTCACCACCTATAAAGCCAAGGCACATCTCAGAACTACCGGGGAGCGAGCGTGGCAGCATGTAAGTAAGTTCTTGAAAAGTTTCTTTCTTTGAAAGAAACCGTCAGCATCGCTAAAATGCTCCTAAGTAAACTACACATCCAGAAGCGCCAGCCAGGCTCTGCGTAAGTGACTTGATGAGCTAAAGCTTCCCCGTAGCAGGAGCAGGTGTGCCAGAAGATGTCCTGGTCCTTAGGAGAGCACCAGGGAACAGGGGTTAGTTCCAAAGAACAACAGGAAGTGCAGGTTCCCCGGCTCTGCGGTTACTGTCGAGGATTTGGGCCTTTGTTAATCGGCACCGCTGCTAAGCAGAATGCTAATTATTATCTGCCTGTGTGCTCAGCCTAGTGGGTTGACGGGGACGCCAAACCCAAACAAGATATGAGTCAAACCTGTAAAATATTGTGAATGGCGGTTAGAGCTGCTAGAAGATTTGCCAAAGAAATCACTGAGCCAGAGGCGAAAGGCCAATGCTGGCTACTTCGGAAGCCACAAAAACTGGGACAGGTGACAGCAAATTGGGCCCCCTCCCCTGGCTCCTATTCCTTCCTATAATGTACAGCATGGCCGGGATGCTAAGAAGAGGCGCTCTGGACCCTACAGACTTCAGCAAGAAGGGAGGTGAGCTGTCATCTAGCCCACCTCCCTCCCTCCAGGAGGAGGCTGAGGCCCAGGAAGGGGTGGAGCTTTACATATAGTGAATTCATCAGAGCCCAGCTAGGTCTCAGCAGTGCCCTTCCATATCCTGCTGCCAGAGCTGAGCTCCTACATGGGTGCATGTAACATCTGGAACATAGAAAAGCAATTCTGAACCTGTCTTCTCATTTGAGCTTTGTGACCAAATGCTTATGTGTTCTCCGCCACCTCTGAGCCTCAGGTTTGCAAGATGAAAGGCTTGACATGGATGCACTTTGAGGTTCCTTCCAGTACTGACCTCTTTCTCCACAAAAAGAAACCAGGGACAGGGAGTGGACAGGCATGTGTCCAGCCCCCAGGAATGTGCACTTCCATCCCTGTGCAGGACCTCCCCTGGACTCCCAGGAATGGCCTGCCCACTGTGAGCCATGATGGCATGCCTCTGTCAACAACCAGAGATGTTCTAAGGTCACAACAGAATGAGGCTGGTTGGGAGAAAATCAATTTTGAAAAGGTGGAGGAAAGACAGGTGAATACATCCAGTCCCTTAAATTTGTCCCACATCCAAATCCTAGCTCAGCTCCTGGTCACTCAGCCAGGTGGTGCCCAGTCAGTGTTTCTTGGATGGATGAATTTATTCACTGGACACCTACGGGAGAAGAGCTGTGCCAGCACAGTGGGAAATATGGAGGTCAATGAGATGTGGTTTCTGCCCTCGGTAGCTTTTAGTCTGATATTTCTTGGTAACACCAGTTTTGTAGGTAAGTAGCATGCAAGGCAGACAGTTAGGAAGCACCATGACAAATACAAGCCAAGTGCTACAGGGAGCAAAAGAGAAGGAGGTTAATCCCATCTGGAATTTGGGATAGGGAAGACTGAGAAATGAATGGCACTGGGTCACGGACGATGAGTTGGACTTGGTCTGGAGTGGTTTTGCAGGGTAAGGCGTGTTCTGGGGAGTGGGAACAGGAAAATAAATGTCCGTGTGAGCAGGTGTGACCCCAGGGGACTATAAGGATCACATGTGTACTGCTTTGAGAAGAACTGTGTCCAGCTCCTAGTTCTTGGAATCAGAAGGGGTTCCATTATTCTGCCCCTTGGTGGAGAAGGCAGCCTGGGCAGTGGCTAGGAATGAAGGTAGTGGAGGAAGGCCTGGCAGTGATCTGTGTCATGCGGCCTGGCATCCCCAGAGTGGACGGGAGAGCAGCTTGTAAGCACAGACAAGGGCCCCAGGGTGGAGGGGAAGCAAGCTTTCCCATCCCCAAAGCCACTTGGAATCCCTGGGTTACAGGCGGAATACTCAGGGTACACACCTGAACCCCAGACCTCTGCCTGCAAAAGACCGGAACCTCTGTTTTGGGGACTAATGACTCTGTCCCTCTGGGACAGTGAGCTTTCTCACCAATTACTTTTCTGGGTAGAGCACTGGCCTTGGCTTCAGGGACTTCCCATCTCAAGGCCTCACTTCCTCCACCTCCAAAGGACCTGTAACATTCCCGGCCTCCGGGTCTGCCACAAAACCATTCTCCCTGGAGCTGGGACAGCAGTCGCCCTTCCTCCCACGGAAGTGGTCAGGAGTTGCTCTTAGGCTCTGGCCTCCTTCTCTTCTGTAAGTCGTCTAGGTGCTTTCTGGGCTCTCCTCACATTTTCGTGCCTGGCGCTGGGGCCGAGGCAGTATCTACTCTGCCTGAAAAGGAGACCTCCCCTCTGGGCTCAGAGTCTTGTGACTGCAGCTGCTCGATGTTTGAAATGAGGACCAGCCGCCTCCTTTCTTGCCCGGCCCTGTGGCCTTCTTCCACCTGGGACAATGGGTACTTCCTATTCCTTAGAGACAGACCCATGAGCAGCTTCATTCCACCGAGAATGACAGCTGCCCATATTTCAGCGTTTGTTCCTCTAGGAATCCTTGCAGGATAGCTGGCGGGTTACGAGTGCAGGTTCAGAGCTGCTCTCAGGATCGAGTCTCCACTCTACCCTTTATGAGATGACGAGTCTTGGGCAGGTTGCTTAATGTGTGCGTCTCAGTTTCCTCATCTCCAAAAGGGGGTTATTGTGATATCTACCTGATAGGTGCTTATGACTGCCTGGAAACTTCTTTCATGAGCCTGTTTTCTCCTTGTCTTGGGGAATTTAAGACAAACCCTATGAGCTGAATTACATTTTCTAATCAGGGGCGATTCCCAGGGGACCCTCTCCATTAAGCACCTCCCAGCACAAGTCCTCCCCATCCCCATTCATCCGTTCCAAAGTCCAAGGTCCTCATGCCTGTGCACTCCTCTTGTTCATCTCAAATAACTTCATGCTGGCTCCACCCCGCAGGGCCACGCTCTGCAGATGGGGCAATCATTCTCCTCCCCAGGGCCCACATGCCGGGCTGGGGTGTATGCTGAAGTCAGGAAACCTCGCTTAGCAGTGGAGGGCTCAAGGCCCCAGGGTCTTGGTAGAAGCTGAGAGATGCAGTCAGAAAGAGTCAGCCTTCCCTTCCCTCAGCCTGATTTTCCTTATTTGTAAAAAGAGGACAGCGACTCCTCCCCTGCCTCCTTCCTGTAGCTGCGGGGTGGCTCTGGTCAGATAATTCATGTAAAGGAGTTTTGATAAGTGTAGATGATAAATAGGCCTAAGGAAGTGAGTCTCAGTTCTTGCCACCCATTAGAATCGCCAGGAGAGCTTTAAAGAAAATGCTGACCAGGTGCGGTGGCTCACGCCTATAATCCCAGCACATTGGGAGGCCAAGGCACCAGATCACCTGAGGTCAGGAGTTCGAGAACAGCCTGGCTAACATGGTGACACCTCATCTACTAAAAATACTAAACTTAGTGGAGCATGGTGGCGTGCCCCTGTAGTCCCAGCTACTCGGGAGGCTGAGGTTGCAGTGAGGCAGGAGAATCGCTTGAACCCGGGAGGCTGAGGTTGCAGTGAGGCAGGAGAATCACTTGAACCCGGGAGGCTGAGGTTGCAGTAAGCTGAAATCACACCACTGCGCTCCAGCCTGGGCAATGGAGAGAGACTCTGTCTCAACAACAACAGCAATAAAAATAGAAAGAAAATGCCAGCGTCATCCCTAACCAAAGATTCTAATTGAATTTGCCTGGGATGGTCTCAGACCAATAGGACATTCTCCAGGTGATTCTTCTGTGCAGTTAGGGTTGAGAGCCTCTGGTCTCAGAGATTCTAAACTCTCTCTTAGAAAGAAAAGTCTTTCCGTCCTCTCCTTTTGCCCTGACCACAGGGTGTGTAGGCAGGGAGTAGGCTGTGGACGGCCCCTCCAGGACCTGTGTCTAAGTCATTGCTGCCTTGGCTGCTGCAGGGTGGCAGCTTGGGGTCAGGGAAAATTGACTTTAAGTCTGGGCTTGAGTCCAGCCTCTACCTGAGCATGTGATATTGGGTAGGTGACTTCACCTGACCAGACTTCCGAATCCCTCATCCGTGAAATGGGGATAGCAATATCATAGGGTTTTTGTGACTATTAAAAGATATAATGGAGGTGAAATGCTTAGCTCAGTGTCTGACACATAAGAGGTCCTCAATAACAGCCCATTAAAAGCTCAACCCCTCTTCTGCTCTTGGATTGTTTTGCCATTATATATGGAATCTGGAGGCATTCGTTTCCCCCAGTCTCTGGGGGCTACTGATGGGTACATGTTGAATCTCAACAATAACCCTAAGAGGAAAGATGTTCAGGTCTCACTATCCCTCTTCTACAGGTGAGAAAAGTGCACTTTGGAGACACTGAGACCCTTGCCCCGGCCCTCTCACAGGTCCAGGCACCAGTCCAGGGCTCATTCCTCTTCGTCCTCACCAGTCCCTTACTCTGCCTGAATGCCAAGAAATTGCACCACCTCTGCTGCCCAGAGCTTGAAAATGTCAGGATTTGTGGGGGAAGCTAGAAGGAAATGGCACAGGCTAGAAAGCGAGAAAGGAGAGAGGGTGGGTGCGGAGCAGGAAAGCACCCGTGTCCTTGGAGTCAGAGGAGGGGCCAGTCGGGAGCTGAAGATGTTCCCGGTGTCTGGGGGTGGGAAGTGGGATGACTCACAGCCTGTCAGTGACCAGGATCCGAGACCTGGCTTCCGGGCGAAGATCTGCTTCAACTCTGTGACCTCTGCAGATGGCTTCCCCTTTCAGGGCCTCAGCTTTCTGACCTGTCATGTGGGCATATGAGATTACATCACTGTTTTTCAAGCTGCCAGTTGCCATCCATTAGCAAGTTGTGAAATGAGTTTAGTGAACTATAAGCAGCCATTGAGAAAAAACAAAAAGCAGAAGAGAAAATATCAGATTACACTGATACATAGTAAGCATTAGCCCTGTGAAACCTTGTGTCAGTTCCAGATCTACGTGTGTAAAGACTATTAGATCTACGTGTGTAAAGACTATTAGATCTACGTGTGTAAAGACTATTAGATAGATTTCTTGATTTGGCCTCTCTCAATAGAGTTCAAAAACCACTCAGCTAGATATCTTTTAGAATTTTTTTTTTTGAGACAGAATCTCTCTGTCACCCAGGCAGGAGTATAGTGGCGCAATCTCGGCTCACTGTGAACTTCACCTCCTGGGTTCAAGTGATTCTCCTGCCTCAGCCTCCAAGTAACTGAAACTAAAGGCATGCATCACCAGGCCCGGCTAATTTTTGTATTTTTAATAGAGATGCGGTTTCACCATGTTGGCCAGGCTGGTCTTGAACTCCTGACCTCAGGTGATCTACCTGCCTTGGCCTCTCAAAATGCTGGGATTACAGGCCCAGCCATGTTTTAGCATTTCTATCAGCCCTCATTAAACTCTAGACTTTTGTAAGATAAAAATGCATCTAGGTCTAGAGAAAATATGTGGGAAGTAGAGTCTGGGTGGAGGCTAGGGATAGTACCAGCCACTGGAGTAGCATCACTCCATGTTGGGCCCCCTGTAATCCCCTCTGTGGGGTGGTCCTCCCTGGAATAGGAGATGAGAGCTCCATCACACACCCGGTGACCAAGTCATTCTCACCTGCCTGCTGCAGGTGATTTGATTACAGAGCCAGGCTAGTAAGAATTGGGACAGCTGACTAGCAACTTCCCTTTCACAGTCCAGAGTGTTTCTCTATGCTTTTCACATGGCCCCTGCCAAAGAGGGACCACAGAATAAATGGGCAGGGGTTACATTAACATACTTGCGATTATGTTTGGCTGTGATTGACAGTGAATCCCCCAAAACAATGGCTTCGAAAAATAAGACAGAAGTGTCCTTCTTCCTTACATGAGCGACCTGGATGCAGGCAGTTCTGGGCAGGCCAAGTGACTGGGAGGTGGCACCATTCTCAGGACCCAGCTCTGTCCAGTCTCTGCCCCACCATCGCTAGGGTACGTACGGCCCTGCATGGTCTGAGATGGCTGCTAGAGCCTTGTCCATGTCACACCCACACTCCAGGCAGCAGGATGGAACAAGAGGTAGAAAACAGGCAAAGGGCATTTGCCCACTGTTTTTACAAAGAGGTTTCTAGAAAGAAAAATTGAAAACAGGTATTCAAACAAACATTTGCATGTACACGTTCATAGCAGCACTACTCACAGTAGCTGAAAGGTCGGGCGGACCCAGATGTCCATCAGCTGATGAATGCATCAATGAACCGCGGAATATTGATTTAACAGACTATCATTCAGCCATAAGAAAAGAATGACCTACTGATGTGTCCTCCAACATGACTAAGCCCTGAAAACATTGCACTAAGTAAAATAACTCAGACCCAAAGGCCACATATTGTGTGATCCCACTTGTTCATATATGAAATGCCCAGAATAGGGCCGGGCAAGGTGGCTCACACCTGTAATCCCAGCACTTTGGGAGGCCAGGGTGGGTGGATTATTTGAAGCTGGGAGTTCAATACCAGCCTGGCCAACACGGTGAAACTCCATCTCTACTAAAAATATAAAAAATTAGCCAGGCGTGGTGATGCATGCCTGTAATCCCAGCTACTTGGGAGGCTGAGACAGGAGAATCACTTGAACCCGGGAGGTGCAGGTTGCAGTGAGCCGAGATCATGACATCACACTCCAGCCTGGGCAACAGAGGGAGACTCTGTCTCAAAAATAAATAAATAAATAAAATGCCCAGAATAGGCAAATCCATAGAGACAGAAAAAGTTGGGTTTGTCAGGGGCTAGGGATAGGAAGAAATGGGGAGTTCCTGCTAATGGATTGGGGGATTCTTTAGGGAGTGATGAATCTAAGCTCTGGCATTAGATAATGGAGGTGGTTGCACATTGTGAATGTACTAAACACCACTGAATTGTACATTTTGAAGTGGTTGAAATGGTGATTTAAATGGTGATTTTTTTATGTTATGTGAATTCTACCTAAATTTTTTAAAAGAGATATTTCCTGGAAATTAACATCTGTAACTTCTGCCTCTAAGTTTTTGACCTGAACTTACCCTCATGGCCACTGAGCCAGAGTGGAGCCTGGGAAAGTAGTGCCTATACATATGGGGGATTTCATTACCAGGAAAGAGGAGCAATTGAACATCAGGATAGATATTTATCTGGCAGTCCACCACATTAGGATTGCTGCTGGCACCTATGTTCTCAGGAAAAAAAACCTGAGAAATTGCCCCAGGAGTTAAGCAGTAACTCAGGGAGGTGGCATGGAATTATAAGGTGAGCACTGGCATCAGAGTTTAGAGATGTCACACTGTGGGCAAACCACCTCTCCGGCCTCTGTGTGCTCACGTCTGGAATAAGGGTGAGGAGTATGTGATTTGTCTCTAAGGTTTCTTTTCCCACTGATTTCTTTTAAGTGTGTAAGTTGGTGAGTCAGTTACAGGAATCATGGCACTCCTCTCTTCTTCTCCTCCCTTCACCCAGACTGGTACAGAAGACAGCCCTGAGGCCTGTAAGTGCACATGAAGCTGTAAACTTGAGAACCTTAGACAGTTGGGGACCTTCTCCCCCTCTCCTTTCCTACACATTCTGACAGAGTTGGCTGTGATTAGTGTTATGTCAAGCGCATTGGGGTTGGGGGGCCAGGATCATTGGATACTTGATTTGGGGACTGGCAGAGCCATCTTATGGTTCAGGGATAGGACGACACCTGAGGGAGGCAGCTGGTGAGGGGAGAGAGGTTTCAGAACCACATCAGAAGCTTGATGAGCATGCTCTCAGCTGGCATGCCCTACTCGGGTTGCAGAGCAGGCTGTCCCCTTTGTCCAGCTCCCCTGAAGATGGCTCTTTTGGAAGAGATGTTTTCCTTCCAGGAGCTCATTCTCTCCCCTCTGTCAGTATCCAAATGCTAGCAGATGGACGATGCAGCATGAGGGCCCCTCACCACTTAGGGCACCTTCTGGACTCAGAATTCTGCATGAGACCCTCTTCTGGAAGGAGGTTTCAGGACCACGGTCACAGGGTAGGGTCAGTAAGACCTGGTGAAAAGGAAACACCATTTTTTCTTCCAGGCTACTCTCAATACTTCCCAGCTGCCAAATGTGTGGGGTTTGTTCTCATACCAAGCGATTCTCAGTGGACACCCACCAGGTGTCCTACAATTCAACTGAATTCTCACACTGTTTGGAGTTAGCACACAGCCTGCAGGGTGTGCACACACCCCTCAGTCCCACAAGACTGCCCCCCGCTTCAGATGCTATTGCTTCAGAAGTTGTCAGCTGTGCTTCTGACCGACCAGATTTAAATCGGGAGTTCCCACCAGCCCCTTCTCAGGTCTGGAGATGTGCAAGAACAGCTCACAGAACTCAGGAAAACAGATGACCAGCTTGTGATCAAAGGATACAACTCAGAAGCAGCCAGATGGAAAAGATGCCTGGGACCGGGTGTGGGAGGGGCGCAGAGTCCCCATGCCCTCCCAGCACTTCCGCGTGTTTAACCTGAAAGCTCCTCAGACTCTATCCTTTGGGGTTTGGGTTTTTATGAAGGCTTCATTTATAGGAATGATTGATGAAATCATGCTTCATTTATAGGCATGATTGATTAAATCGGTCAATGGTGCTGGAATCAATCTCCAGCCCCTCTGCCCTCTGTGGAGGTGGATAGCGGCATGAGGCTGAAAGTCCTAACCCCCTAATCACTGGTTTGTTCCCTTGGCAACCAGCTCCCATCCTGAGGCTATCCAGGAGCCTCCAGTACCAGTTATCTCATTAGAATACAAAAAGTCACTCATCACTTTGAAGATTCCAAGGGCTTCAGGAACTTGGTGCCAAGAAAAAGCAGAAATCAAATACGTATTTCTCATTATGCCACACCTAGGTTCAGAATCCTAGCTCTGCCAATTACCAGGTAAGTGACCTCAGATAAACTACCTGGTCTCTTTGAGCCTTGGTTTCTCGTTGTAAGATTTCATTGACGACATATATAACGTGCTCTGTAGACTGCGCATAGCAGTTGACATAAAGAAGGTGGATGAAAAAAAGTGAGCCCCAGTTTTCCTCCTCCTCCAGCTCAAAGCAGTCTGGCACATCCCACAGCCACCCTAACAGTTAGCAAAGCTCCTTGGCGCTGTGGGGGCTCATACTTGGTGTCAGAAAAGGCAGAGATAATGATGCAGGCTCTGGAGCCTGCAGTCCTCCACTGTGGAGTGGGGTGACCACGACCAAGGTACTTGGTTTCTCTACACCTTGGCTTCCTTGCCTGTAAAACAGGACAGTTACAAGTGCCTGCCTCATGGAGTTAATGAGCTAATGCATGTAAACACTTTGAAAGATGGCTGGCACACAAATGCCCAGTAATACCATGATCATCACCACCACAGTCACCCCAGGTCTGACTTAGTGGGGCATGTGAAGTGCCCCTCATCTCTCTTCTGCAGGTGCCTCTTTTCTTGGGAGGCACCCTGGAGCTCAGGCTTTTCTTTGTCATCCTCTCTAGGGACAAGACATTGATCTCTGGGATTAATGGAAGAGGCCTTTACTATTGACACAGCCACAGTAAACAATGCATAAGCTTTGGTGGAGCCAAGAAGGGTGTGGGACTGTTGGGTGAGGCAGGTGCCAGCAAGAGATGCTGAGTGCCCCGCCCCTCTTTCCTTACACCTGTGCTGGACAAAGAGCCACCTCGAGTTAGACTTTCTGCTTTCAAAAACTCATGGTCTAGAGCGTGCTTTACCTGGAAAAGGACATGCATCCTTTGGGGTTTGGAAGTGGGGTGAAGAACCTCTAGGAAAGCTCAAGTGGTCTGAAACCACATGTTCCATAGAGCCTCCCCTTTTTAAAAAACATATTCCCAGAGGTTCTTATTTGAGAGCTCTTCTTTTTTCTTTTTCTTTTATTTTTTTATTTTGGGATGGAGTCTCACTCTGTCACCGAGGCTGGAGTGCAGTGGCATGATCCTGACTCACTGCAACCTCTGCTTCTCAGGTTCAAGTGATTCTCCTGCCTCAACCTCCTGAGTAGCTGGGATTACAGGCATGTGCCATCATATCAGGCTAATTTTTTAATTTTTAGTAGAGATAGAGTTTTGCCATGTTGGCCAGCCTGGTCTTGAATCCTGACGTCAAGTGACCTATCCGTCTCGGCCTCCCAAATACTGGGATTACAGTATGAGCCACTGTTAGCCTTTCTTTTTCTAAAGCAAGTAAAGCTCTACGAAATCACAACTGGCTGGGATGCACAGAAAGTAGTGAGCAAGGTTGGCAGAAGGTGGGGCTAGAAAGTTGGGGCCGTTTCGCTAGAGAGATCTGGCATGTATCAACCCAGCTGTACACAGTGTTTGCCCGTGTCTGAGTTCTGGACTGTCTCTGTTGGCTATTCTGGTGCAGGAATGCTCATTTCCCCCCTGCTCCTGCTGTCCTTTCTGTACTCCCTTACTTCTTTCCTTCATTTATCAGATCCTTGTGGATTGGACCGATGTCTCAGTTTCCCCGAATTTGTGTAAAAACCTACTAATTTATTATCAATGGATCTTTGTTAAATATCCATTGATAAACTGATATCACCGATAAATATTCACTATCAATGAATATTTGTTAAATGAATGAATGAGTGGATGTTTGAATGAATGAATTTCAGCACCCTGAGCTGGAAGTAAGCTCAACTCTTGAGCCCCTCTTCAATGGCAGGATGGCTCACCATCCCAGGGAGTCTACATTTCACTGGAGAGGGTACCTGTGGTGACCCTCTTGCCCTATCTCCAGTGCTCTAGAGTGGGAGCCCCTCCCCAGTCCGGCCCTGGCCCCCACTCGCCTTTCTCCCTTTTCCATGTAGGGACCCCACTCTAGATAAATTACATTACTCCTTCTCTTGCACCTTTGGGCCTCTCCTTCCCACTGTCTAGAGTGCAGGCTGCTCTATGGGCACCTGACAAAATTCTCCCTCCTTTCAAGGCCAGCATTTTCAATGTAACTTTTCCTGATCCCTACAACTGAAAGTGAGTTTTTTTCCTCGCCTGCGTCTCTCCTACGCCTTTCCTTGATTTACCCCATTCCGTCATTCACGATCACTTCTGCTCGTCTTATCCACTGCCAAAGCTCCTGGAGAGTTACAACCACACTTCATACACATCTACACTCTCAGCATTGTGCCTCACACAATGTCCTATGAATAACAGTTGTTCTAATATTTTTATCAAATAAGTACTTTATATTCACTTTTCCTGGTAGACTAAATTGTGAGCTGCTGTTATGATGGTCATCTCATGACATTAGTCTTTGTTTGTTCATTTATTCCTTCATTCATTTATTTATCCAATTATCCTAATACAGTCAAGCAGTGTGCTAGGCATCAGAATATAAAGATCAAGAGGGGGC